TTCTGTTCTGCATTTTCCATTCTAGTTCATTTTTAAAGTTTTGTGATCTAAAAACAGCCACTCTGAGGTCAGTGATGGGATGTCCTGGGAAGTTAAAGTGTTCTGCCATAGACTTGTCTGTTTTTTCTGGTACTAATGTCAGATAGGTTTTCTTTAATACAAGTGACAAATATTATGTAGGAAGTTCTTTTTGTTAAGGTTCATGATAAAAATAGAAAGAACACTGCCATGACTAACCAGCAACATTTTCCCACATCCTGTTAATCATTCTTCAGGATTACTCAAGATTAAAAGTGTATTAATCTGTGACCTCAATTATTTCAGTAATTCAATAGGTTTGCTCGCAAGGCAGAGTTTGCCAATATGGCCAAATTTCTGTCAGACTACTCTGACAGAACAAAAATATTTGGACTCTTATTTCTGCCTACTAGTTGTCAAAAGACCAGTAACAGATAAGGCAAGCAATCCTGTCTGAAATACTAAAAAAAAAAAAAAACCCAACAAAACACCTGGCTACTTAAAAAAAAAAAAAAAACCCAACAAAACACCTGGCTACTTAAAAAAAAAAAAGTATGGAAGTGAAATAGAACTGTTAAACCTACACATGAAATCTACGTTACCACAACACTGTGCCAAAATGTTGAACACTTTTTCAAAGGATTTTTGATTACAGAGAAACAAAATTAAGTTTAATTGGCTAGGTTTCTTGTAGCTGGATAATATTCTGGCACTTGTAAAGGTTAAAAACCCTACATAGACGTGTTCTGTATTTTTGAAGAAATTTAGAAGAGAAGTTTTTTGAAAGGAATGTAACAACAATATGAAATCAAATCAAATGTGAATAACATATTTGTAGTTCAAGCAAAACACACATTTAGAGACAAATGCATACAACCTCAGTCTTCATAATTGCAGAGTACATAGGCATGTGCCATCAACTTGACTAACCAGTTGTTTTTAGATTAATCCTTTAGCAGCCCTTCTGTCCCTATACCTCCTTACAGATACAAGCTTGCAAGATTTAAAGCTTTTGGAAAGAATTTAAATTCTGTCAAGTGCACATATATGTTTATACCACCACATACCACTTAAACAGCAGCGTCTTTGCAGCATCCACGTTATTCTGTTTGTATTCTATTATTGCAAGTGCTGTTAAGATATCAGCTTTGTCATGTTCAGATTCAGCAATGGACAAGGCTTTTTCATAGGCTGGTAACATTAAATTCAGAATTAAGTTTCAGAATTAGAAAAGCAGCAATAAAATGTAAGAGTTCTCTGAAATGACAAGGATAATACTATGCACATATACAGTCTCTGGTTCCACGGTAACATTTTTCCATAGTAACGTTCTGCCTTAGTGCATTGGTTGGACAAAGGGACACTGTTGAAACTGCACAAACAAGTGTAAATCTGTTTCCCCCCCACATCTTGTAAGTTTAAACTTTGCAACTACTAAAACGTTTTAAAAATGTAATAAAAGTAAAGAACAACAACAACAACAACAACAAAAACCGCACACAAACTGATAATGGAATGTCTATGGAAAAAAAAAGTCCACTGTGTATTTAAGAAATCCTCTCTGATAATTTAGGATTATTTAAAGTTTATGAATTCAGTTGATACTGAAACTCTTTAAAATCTTCCTGATTTAAATAAATAGACACCTACCTTTAATACTTTCCTGTAGAAGCCCCTTTTTGAAGTAAGCTAATGCTATTCCTACAAGGTCATCAAGTTCGCTGAGACAAGTTGACATATAAGCCTGGATGGCCTTATCGTATTGACCTATGCCACTAGAAAACAAAACACACACATTTAGATGTGACCCACCAAAAAAAAAAAAAAAAGTTTTCAGTATCAATTTTAGGCAGATTAAATTTATAAAGCAACATAAGTGGCATATGATAAATGTACAAGTCATAACTTTATATTTGTTAATTACCGCCTTTTAGGAGCTCGACAATACTAATGGAAAGTGACCAAGTTTGCAGCAATCAGTTTTTTGTTTAAAAGAAATACTGATACTTCTTTATTCTGTCAAGATCTTTCCATGGATGCAGTACCAGTTTGGTAATACAGATATTCACAACCCCATTTCACTTGCACAACAGCTTTAAGTTGCTGCTACCGGCTCAGAAATATTAACATGCAGGTCAAATGTTTGAGATGACTGCTCACAAGATAAAATGCAATATTTGAAAAACATGAGCATACTTATATTAAGAACAGGTAGTATCCATAGATTAGCAAAACATACAAAAATATTGCCTAATTATTGATGTAGGAGGGGGAAAAAAAAAAAATCACAGCAAGATTCAGAGATGTGGGGCAAAAAATTTTTCCAAACAGAAAATTTTCCAGTGCTTTATTTCTTCTGGGGGGAAATTTTCCATTTCTAAAAAATTCATTGTTTCATAAAATTCATTAGTAACAATGAATGGATGCCAATACAATATTAGGCAAGCTTGGCAGTTTCAAAGTTGTAATTAATATTTTTCTGGTTATTATCCCTAGGAAGTGTGTAAGAGAGTACATATGTTTTATTGGTTTGTAAACAGGAGGGCAAATATTTTCACATTATAAACCAAAAAATCAAGTTATGAATTCACCTAACTGTCTGTGCAGGTCAAATCAAAACCAAAACACGGCATATCATGCACTGTTCTCTGGGCGTGCTAAAATGAGTGTGTCAACAGTTTTCAATGTCTTCATTTTTTCTCTTAAATTTAAACAAACAATATAAGGGAAGTACATGCTATTGTGTACTGTTTTTACATTTTATAAGTATTTGAATAAAAATAATTGCTTTCCACCTAAAGCTTTGAATTTGTTTGAATATAACATTTAAACTACATTAAGTGTGTTGTATTTCATTTTTTTCCAAATCAAATAATTCACTTCAAATACTTGTGGCTATTGGGACATAAAATTAACATGGGGGTACTTTTTTAGCTTTGTTTACCAAATATAAGTCAAATAAACAGAAACCAGATCTGCTAAATCAGATCATGCTCCATTTGGGGCATTGGAAATTTTTCCAGAAAACCCACATCTCTGGCAAAATTTCCATGCAAGACTGTAACTACAGAAGAGACGCTAGACTGAATAATAAAATAACCCAACACCTAACAAACTAACTAACAGTTAACTGCTGTATAGATACAAGTGTTAGAGTCATTTTGTCTCAACGTATGCAACAACTCTGCTGTTGTGATACCTGCTATCTCAATTTTTAAGACCATCTCTGAAAATTAAAGAGTCATTAAGAATTACAGAAAGGCAAGCCCATGAAATGATCCCACTGGTTCTAATCCTCAGATTGAGCCTGGAGATAGGTACTTCTTCCCAAGAAGAGGTAACCTCATATGCCTTGCACAATACAGCTGAAGCTACACTAAAAAGGAAGGCATGCTTTGCAACTGTCCTCTAGTAATTAGGATTTTTTCTACGTTCCCTGAGATGAAGTTCTGAAAAACATGGATGGTTATCAAGAATGAGGCAGACACCATAAAAGTCTTGCCAGATTGTCTCCCCAGAAAAGTTTTTGTCAACCAACGCTATCAGAGAAACTCTGAATACAGGATAAACTGTCTGCTGAGATTTCTTAGGAGAATTTCATTTCAGATTGCTACAATTCAGCATCCAGTATGGGGAACCTTTAGAAGTTCATAACAATGTCCACCCCCCTCGCACTGAAATTTTTGTTAAAGATAGTGACAGCCTGCAACAAATAGCTGCTTGCACTCAAACTGGATTGCATGGGGAAAAAGAAAGGGAATATTTCAAGTCAAACAGCAGGTAGAAAAAAAACAAAATGAGAGAGACAGCTTTAGGAGAACAGCTTTAAACAGCTACAGGAGAACAGACAATGTTATGCTACAGCTAACTACTTTTCATTATTTTGGGTACAGCCCTAGCTCAGAACAACAGAAGTGATTTAATGAAGATGCATATAAAAATAAACAACTTACTAAAATACTACATTTTATGCTCACAATAGATTAAAGATGACTACTCTACCACTAAACAAAGGATGTAGTAAACCAGTGTTGTAAATCTTGTTTTGTAGATCTAATATTTTTTAGCACAAATACAAGGCCTTACTCTTGGATTATCAAAATTTCTAATAGCTACTATGTCAATCAAGCTTTCTGAAGCAGTCACCGATTCCCTCCCAATTTTTACAGTGTCTAGCAGAATGGGGTTCTGGTCCATGCTGACTCCTAGGCATTATAATAATAAATTAAGTTAAAAAGTGGCAACTACTTACCACAGTGATCTACCATAATTTCGTATTGCTATGTTCCACTTCTCTTTATCTTTGGAGTTCTTCAGTAATGATACTGCCCTAGAAAGCAAATGTGAAGTACAAATATTTTCAAGGGTACATACAAAATGATTGTTACACTGTATACCCATATATTTCAACTAGGGGTGCATTGATAAGAGAATTTCTGGGCCGATACCAATGGCTGTTTTTAAATGAGCCACATCATCCAATACTGAGCTGATTCTGATATGCGGCCCAGCAGCATGGACAGTGGTGTCTGGCTGGTAAGTCTACTGTGGTGGAAGGGGCGAGGGGGGAGGG